ACCGCAAAAAAAAAAAAAAAAAAAAGTTTGAGGTATTTAGGTCGTTTTTTTATTTTGTATTTTTAGTCTTTACATTCAGTTGCTCCAGCATTACATGTGGAAAAGTCTCTTATTGCTCCATTCAGTTGTTTTTGTATCTTTGTAAAAAAAAAAAAAATCAGTTGGACGTGCTTGTGTGGATCTCTTTCTGGGTTGTCTGTTCTGTTCCATCTGTTCTTCTGCCAAATTCACATTGTCTTGTTTACTCTGGCTATATAGGAAATTTTAAAGTTTGGTGGAATGAGTTCCTCTCACTTCATTCTAAAATTAGCTCACCTCTTCTGGTTCCTTTGTCTTTCTAGGTAAACTTTAGAATAAGCTTGTCTCTATGAAAAATCTTGTGGGGATGTTGTTAGAATCCCTAAATCTATAGATCAATTTGGGGAAGAATCTTGAGTCTTTCGGTCTATGCACATAGTATATCTCTCCATTCATTTAGATCTTCTGTGGTTTTTTTTCATCAGTGGTTTACAATTTTCAGCATACCAGTCCTGTATATGTTTTTTTTTTTTCTGTATATGTTTTGTTAGGTTTGCACTAAAACGTTTTATTAATGGGAGAGTAGTGATTGAAAGTAGTATTGTGTTTTTAACTTTGGTTTCTGTTTCTTGGGAGTATATAGAAATAAAATTGATTTTTATGTTGATCTTTATATCCTGTAATCTTTTTTTTTTAATTAATTAATTTATTTTTGACTGTGTTGGGTCTTCGTTGCTGTGCGTGGGCTTTCTCTAGTTGCAGAGATTGGGGGCTACTCTTCGTTGCAGTGTGTGGGCTTCTCATTGCAATGGCTTCTCTTGTTGCAGAGCACAGGCTCTAGGTGCACGGGCTTCAGTAGTTGTGGTGCATGGGCTCAGTAGTTGTGGCTTGCAGGCTCTAGAGCGCAGGCTCAGTAGTTGCGGCGCACGGGCTTAGTTACTCTGCAGCATGTGGGATCTTCCCAGACCAGGGCTTGAACCCGTGTCCCCTGCATTGACAGGTGGATTCTTAACCACTGTGCCACCAGGGAAGTCCAATATATCCTGTAATCTTGATGAACTAGTTTTTGTTTTTTTAAGATTCCCCTGGAATCGTCTGTATAGACAGTCGTGTCATTTGGAAGTAAGGATGATTTTAGTTCTCTTTTTCCAATCTGTATGCCTTTATTTTCTTTTCCTTGCCATATTGTGCTGGCTAGGGCTTCCAGTATTATGTTGAATAAGAGTGGTGACAGCAGACATCCTTGTCTTGTTTCTGATTTTGAGAGGAATTATTCAGTCTTTTGCCGTGAAGTATTTTGTTAGCTCTAGGTCATTGATGTTTGCATATTGATTTTTCTACTCTACAACCTTGTTAAACTCAATTTTATTAATTCTGATGTTTTATCTATAAATCTTTGGAGTTTCTGTATACATAATCACGTAATCTGCAGGTAATGACTGTTTTGTTCCTTACTTTGTATCTCTATACTGGATACCTTTTTCTTCCTGTGTTGGCTAGCATCTCTATTACAATGTGAAATAGAAGTCATGATAGCAGGTATGTTTTTACAGGTCCTGAAAACAAGTAGAACACTTTCAAAAGGTCATCAATAAATGTGATTTATGCTGTAGGGTGTTTATAGCACCCTACCTTTCTCAGATAAAGGAAACTTTGATATAAATTTTAGTTTGTTGAGTTTTTTCTTCTATTTTGTTCTATAGTCAAGAATTGATGTTGAATTTTTATCATTGTCTCTTCATTTTTGACATTATCACATGGTTTTTCTTTTTTAATCTGTTAATATGGTGAATTCAACCTTGCATTCCTTGGATTAAACCCAATCTTTTATATGTAGCTACATTTGGTTTCTCAATATTTAAAAATACTGTATCTGTAAACACAGAAAAGATTGGTCTGTGATTTTTTTCCTTTCTCTTATTTTTTTCTTGGGTTTTAGTATCATGGTTATGCTAGTTAGTTACATAAAATTAGTTGGGAAGGATTCCCTTGTTTTCTAGTCCTTGGAAATATTTATATGACATTGGAATTATTCCTTCCTCAGTTATTTGGTAGAAGTCATTAGTAAAGTCATGTAGCCTTGGGTGTTTGTTTTTGTGGAAAGATTTATTGATTATTGATTTTCTTTCTTAGTGGCATTTTTTCTTCTTGAGTAAATTTTGGTAAGGTATAGATTTTCTCCAGTTTGTCTAAATTTTTAAATGTTTTTATGTCAAAAATTGTAAGATTGGCCTGTGATTTTTTACTTTGTTGATCTTATGCATATTTTTTTTTCTTTACCCCTGATTCATTGATTCTTAGAAAGCACTTTAAATTTTTAAATGTTTGGAGATTTTCTTTTCTGTTGTTGAAGTATAGCATAATTCAGAAAAGTATAAAAATTATAAATGGCTAGCTCTGTGACTTTATACAAAGTGAAAACAGTAGTGTGACCAGCATCCAGATATATAAGTAGAACATTACCTGTACCCAAGAAATATTCTCTTACTCCTCTTTCAGTTACATCTCCCACCAAAGGAATTCACTATTCTAACTTTTAACATCATCAGCTAGGTTTCCTTATTTTTGAATTCTTCTGGAAATGTAGTCATATTTTATGTATAGTGTTTTATATCTGGCTTCTTTCACCTAACTTTCTTTGTAATGTTAATTCATATCATGTGAAGCAGTAGCTTATTCACTCTCATAACTGTGTTGTATTTCATTGTATGACTATACTACAATATATCTTCATTCCACTGTTGATAGGTATTTTTGTTTTCTGTTTTGACTAGTATGAATGGTATTGCTATGAACATTTTTATGTCTTGTAGTGGACGCAGGTATGTGTTTCCATTGAGTAAATACCAAGGAGTGTATCTTGGGGCCTACTTCTTTATGTTTGTTAATTTATGTTTAGCTTAAGTGCTTTATTTTGTTTAGTGTTTGCATCCTTTTTTTCCATCCTTTTACTTTCAGTATCTCATATCATTATTTAAAAATTTTTTTGTAATCTCTCTATATTGAAGTTTAAAAATCTTGATCTTTTAATGTGATCATGTACACCATATATACCATATTATAATATACTGATATATGTTAAATATTGTTCAAAGTACTATATATATAGTAACTTATTATACATTTCAAGTTTTGTCTGGCTCATTTGTCCTTATTTCACTGTATTCCTAAAACTTATATTCCTTGGATATAAACTTCAGCTTTGCAATTATATTCTTTAACCACATTGCGGGTGACATTTTGCTGTCTTCTGGTTTATATTGTTGCTAGTGAGAAGTCACTATTAGTTTAAATACTGTTCTTTGAAGGTAATATGTCTGCTATAAGGTTTTGTTTGTTTTTTTGGAATTATTATTTTGAACTTAATTCTGTTTGGCTTCTTGAATTTGTGAATTGGTATTTATGATATTCACCTCATAGAGAGGCCTCTGCCTTATTCCTCTTCTTCTGGTACTCCCATGAATCATAAGTTAAGCTATTTTACTTTTTCTTTTGTGTATTGCATTTTTATATTTTTCCGTTCTGTATTTTTGGATAATTTCTTCGGACATCTTTTGTAGCTCATTAAGTCTCATAGCTTTTCTTAATCTGCTAATAAACTCATCCATTAAGTTTTTACTTTCAATTTTTGTATTTTTTCATTTTTAGTAGGTCTTTTTTGTTCATATCTTTTAATTCACTGTATAATTTTTTTATTCCTTGTAGATTTTTAAACTTATCTTTTATTTCTTTAAAATTATAAATGCATTTGACCCTTGAACTAATGGAGGTTAGGAGTGCTGATCCCCCCGCCCCTCAACCGCAGTTCAAAATCCATGTGTCACTTTATACTTGACCCTTTGTATTCATTGTTATAAACATCCACGGATTCAACCAACCATAGACTGTGTAGTATTGTAGTATTTATTGAAAAAGTTCTGTGTATAAGTGGACCCATGCAGTTCAACCCAGTGTTGTTCAAGGGCTACTATACAGTTGTATAGTAGTTTTATAATCCATTTGATGATTGTAATATTTGAAGTTTTGGGGGGTCTGGTATTTCTGCTGGTTCTTGCTCATTGTGCCTTGCTTGCTTAGATGCTTGGTTATTTTTGACTTGATAATGCTTATTGTCCTAGAAACATCATATGGGGATTATTTGAAGTGTAGCATGAAGGTGCCTTCCTCTAGGAGGGCTTGAATGTACTTATATTATGGGAGCGTTACCAGTTGAGGGTCACTGAGTTCTTGTGTTGAGGTTCTCTGGACTACGTAGGCAGTGTGAACCTCAGCAAATGTGTAGGCTTATGGCCAAAACTAATTAGCTGTTCCTCCCTTGTATCTGCTATTACTTTGCTCTGCTTAATACCAAGGCAACCTTCTCTGCTGTCCCTGTGGGTGGTAATGGCAGCATGGGCACATGTTTACTTGGTTTAATTCTTTCCTTTGCAGGTATTATCTTTTTTGGGTTGGGGTAGTATTCTACATTAATGTCAGGAGGGTCTCTGATGTTCTTCCTTGACAGGACTCTGTCCTTCTTTTTCCATAAGATCACCAAAACTGAACTCTGGATTTGACAGGGCTGGGGAGATGCCTTCAGGGTGTAAGTGGATCTAAAGTTCCATTTAGTTCTCTGGGTTCCTGAATTCCCTTAGATTATGGCCCAAGTAATTTGTGGTGCTATTAAAAAAAAATGCTGTGTGTATTTTATATATATGTAAATAAGTAAGTAAATAAATAAATAAAATTACTTAGAGTTTTTTTGTTGGAGGGTCAGTGCAAATAACCTAGCTTGCCACTAATGGAAATGAAGGTAAAAATAAAATTTTAAAAATTGGGGAAATATTCAGTAAAATGATTTTCATTAATTAGATAAGTGAATTACTATAAATTAGGAAGTAGTTATAATTTTTTGTAGGGAGAGATTCCTTTTCATGTTTATTATGAATGTTGTTGATACTTATTTTTTGGTTTGCATCTAATAGTTTTCTCGTTTTAGGGGTAAAGATATTTCCATCATGGCTCATTCAAAGACAAGGACCAATGATGGAAAAATTACCTATCCTCCTGGTGTCAAGGAAATCTCAGATAAAATATCTAAAGAGGAAATGGTGAGACGGTTAAAGGTGAGTAAAATTGGGTTATGTCCTTTGGACATCCATTTAGGATAAGCAGAGCTGGGGGAGGACACCTGTGGAAATCACATAGGGCTGTATCTTGTTAGGGCAACTTCAAGAAAATCAAAGCAGAAAATGTCTCATGGCCAAAACTAATTAGCTGTAATTAGGAGCTAAGAGAGTGGAGTAGATAAAGAACTGTAGGGTTTCCTTAGTTATTGTTAATGGGAGTGCAATTAGAAAGGTGAAGCTTACATTTTCTAGTGCTGTCTATACTTGGGTATAAAGAACAAATCCACAATACGCTTATACTCATTATTATCTGTAGAAAGTTGTCTCCTTCTCCTATATCTCATTTATTTTATAAAAGCAACCATTTTAATTTGAGAAAAGAAATTTTAATTCTACCGAATACTAAGGCTGTATTTTACTTTCTTGTATTTTGAAAGTAGGTTAAAGAGCTTTACTTTTAGCTCTCTGCTTCTGATGTGCAGCAGTGAGTCAAGATTGATGGTGAACTTCCATTCGTGAGGCAGTCACTGTATGGTTAGACTCTCTTCACATTTGTTTGAATAATATTTCATCTTTGTCTTCGAGGCAGTGATAGTCTCCGCGATTAAAATGGTTAAAAGAGCAGAGTGGCCAAGAAGATTGTTAAGCTGATTAGTTCAGATGGTCTTTATTTTTGAGCATTTTTTTCAGTTCAGTGTTGTATCTACCTAGACATGTTGCTTGTTATATTATTATCAATGTTTACCAGTATTTCAAGTGTAAAAGACTTGCCTTAATTAATCATTGAAGGCCCAGGAGCCTTGAAGTACTACTTTATTGTTGCATGGTTTATTTATTAGAGGAAAAAGACCCTAATACTATTGTAAGTTTCACATAAAGTCTTAGTATTATATCCTGTGCATAAAGTATTAGAATGTCAGATATAAGGTGTTCGTTATTCAAAGCAAGAGACATCTTTGAGCAGATTAAATTTACCAATATGTGGATATTATATCTAGTTGGGAACTGTGTGTATTTTATTAAAAATGGTTAAGCTACAGGGCTTCCCTGGTGGCACAGTGGTTGAGAGTCCACCTGCTGATGCAGGGGACATGGGTTCGTGCCCCAGTCCGGGAAGGTCCCACATGCCGCAGAGCTGCTGGGCCGTGAGCCATGGCCGCTGAGCCTGCGCGTCCGGAGCCTGTGTTCTTCAACGGGAGAGGCCACAACAGTGAGAGGCCCGTGTACCCCAAAAAAAAAAAAAAAAAAAAAAAAATTGGTTAAGCTATAAACTCTAGATATGAAAATTTCCATTTCTATGTATTTAGATTTTCTTGACCTATTAAGTTTTTAGAGAAAGAATACATTTATTTCCTCAGATTTGTTTATATTTCAGCAATGATATCATCCTTATTGTTTGCTAAGAAATGAACATTAAACACAGAGACTATACTTACAAGCATTTAGCATTTAGTGTCTTTTATGGATGTTATTTTCTCAGACATCTTTTTTAATTTAGAGGACTCATATATGAGTTATTCGTGAGTTTTATAACACCATCTGAGTTGGTCACAGTATTGAGGAATTCCCATTATCTAGCCCTTGAATAAACTTTATTGATAGTTTTGGTGGAATGATTTTCACAGTGCTCACATTTAGTGCTTGTAGTAAGCTTTCATTATTTTGTAGACATTTCTGCTCAACAATAATCTGGTTACTTTTTTTCTCTTTCTTTTTTCCTGATGTACACTTCCCACTGTTTTTAGCAACCGTCTTGGAGAAATATAGGAAGGATTTAATGTGGGATGATGGTAATTTTTGATATGTACAAGTACAGGTATAAGTTTTATAAGTTATAAAAACTTGTTAATATGTAAAGTGTCATTGTTTATGTAATTTCTAGAATTTCTCATAACATTTTATTCAAAATATACTGAATCTCTCACTCTTGTGAAGCGATTCCAGGGAAAGAAAGAGTTCCTTGCATATAGCTCTTTTTTTTTTTTTTGTCTTTTTTCATAATACATCAAAGCCATCAAAGCATATATCTTAAAAGTAATAAAATTAAACCGGAGAGTAGTCCTGGACATTGTACCCTTAAACTAATTGTAGTGTCAGACTGGAAAGATTAGTCTACTGATGGTTCTGGCCTCTGGTGTAGTAGAACTGAGGGTCTGCTCTGTGAGGAACACTGTTACCCACAGCTGCTCTGAGAATTCAGTACTACATTGGACAATTCATTACTCAGAAGTCTAACTCTACAGCAGAGTGGAAATCCATGCAGTTATGTCTCAAAGACCAAGTCCAGCCCTACTTGTTGATTAGTATTTGTAGCGCCACCTAGTGGATGCCAGGTGGTCACCTTTGCATTAGAGTTGTGTTTAAATGTCCCTGATGAGTTCAGCAATTTTGTCAAGTCTTATGTGAAGTAGGAATAGTACAGACTGAGGCTTCCTTGTGACTGCTGATACTAAGAGAAAGCTCTTCACAGAATTCAAACTATATGATTTTTCACCATTATTGTTTCCATCCCACTTCTTTTATGTAAATGTTTGCTTTCTTCTGCTCACTCCATACATGCCATTGAGTCCTACTAATCAATTGTCCATCTCATATTCTCTTTAACTGTGGTACAAGAAATATTTAATTGGATGCTACAGTAGTTACTTCATGGTAGCTTTTTAATGTTTACGGATTCATCTTTGTCATCCTTTCTTGAATCTGTTTATATATTCTTTTTTAGCTCAGTGTTGTAAAAGTGAGACTAGAAGTACTATGTTAAGCTACTTTTAAACTTTTAAAATCTGGTTAGCAGGTGTGATGGGTAAATGAAAAGTATTTTACTTAGTCTTTTAAAGAAAAGTTGTATTTGCCCTATAGTTCAGAAAGGTCTTGTTCTCTCAGATAGATACTTTTAGGGGAAACATGAAAGTGTATTTATTGGAAGTTAACCTTTGTAATTAATATGGCTTTTATTTCAAATGAATATATTTTTACATGGAGGATTTCATTATTTGATTATTTTGTTTTTATATAGATGGTTGTGAAAACTTTCATGGATATGGACCAGGACTCTGAAGAAGAAAAGGAGCTCTATTTAAACCTAGCTTTACATCTTGCTTCAGATTTTTTCCTCAAGCATCCTGATAAAGATGTTCGATTACTGGTAGCCTGCTGCCTTGCTGACATTTTTAGGATTTATGCTCCTGAAGCTCCTTACACATCCCCTGATAAATTAAAGGCAAGTACTGATTAAAAGAACTGCCAAGATTGACTGATACTTTATCTTTCTGACTAAAATGGGAATTAAAGTATTTAGATTATTTCTTTAGATTCTTTGACATTAGCTGCAGCATTCTTTTGTTAAACTATTGTACTTCTGTTTTCTGTAGAATTTCCTACCCCCCATTAGTATTTAATTTTGTAAAACAATTTCTGATCTTCAGAATAAGAAGTTGATTAGTAAAGTGTTTTCTATACTTTTTTTTTTTTTTTTGGCCATGCCACACAGCTTATGGCATCTGAGTTCCCTGATCAGGGACTGAACCTGGGCCACAGTAGTGAAAGCGCTGAGTCTTAACCACTGGCCCGCTAAGGAATTCCCTATACTTTTTATATTATGTCATCATTAGTGGTATTTCAGTATCAGTTGGGGACACTTGCTTTTCCTTTTTAAAAATTCATATTGAAGACCATGTTCATTATTTAAAACACAGTATCTAGTGTAAGTCTGAATTTATAATATATGAATCCTAATTCACTTAATGTAAGGTGTGATGTGAATTGTTTTGAAGAAAATACAATGAACAAAATTTTAATGAAAGGTAGAAAGCACACTTAGCACTTGGTTATGGTAGTTGTAAGTAAAGGCATGTGAATGAAATAATTTTTAAAATATGAGAAAAGGAGAATAGCATGATTAATCCAGTGGGTAGAAAGCATGAAAATAAGTAGAGCTGTGCAAAAATTTATTGAATGAAGCAAGTTAGAAGAAAATTAGAAAAGCCAACAATAATAAAAGATAATTGTGGAAACTGTTGGTTAGGAAATGAGTCCCTAGGAAGATTACCCAGTGTGGAACAAAAAGACAATTTAGGTTTATTTCATTTAACAAATATTGATGTTAGTTATATGTCAGGAGCTGGGTTTACCTTGGTGAAAAACAACCCAGACTAGGTTCTTGAACTCAGAGAGTTGCTTCTTAAAAACTGGAGTGAGGAACCTGCTCATTTGATCAAGTCAGCCAAGATTCCAGTAAGGCATGCCCAAACTGCTGTGGACATGCTTGTTTCATATATCTTAGGATGGGGAGGTAGGGGACAATATTTGTCATTTAAAAGTAAAATTGAATTGTAAGATTTGAGAATGGTTAGAGACTTAAAGTAGATAACATGAGCTGGCCTGTGGAGTTGTGTACCCAGGTGTATATCCTGATTTCTAATTGTGAACCTTTAATTTGAGGTACTTAATTGGTTTAAGGAGTAATTGTATTTGGTTGACTGTGGGCTGTGGCTCTTCCTCACTAGATGTTTTGTTGGCATTCTCATGAAGAGGGACGTCTAACTTAAGAGTGCTGCTACATGATTTCTTCTACCTCTCTTGTGGATTTCTCAGTTTGAGTTATCAGTGATCTGTCTCAAGGCTTTGGGGTAATGAAAGTCCTCCCAAAAGAATAGCTACAAATCTTGTCTATTAATAATAGGACAGTTTTTGAGAAGAATATTGAAGAGGTATGATTAAATTAGAGTTTTTAGAATCTAGCTTAAAATTTTTAAGTATTTTATTTTTTCTGGTCAGTTCTTTTTTTAATTTAATTTATTTATTTGTATACAGCAGATTCTCATTAGTTACCCATTTTATACATATCAGTGTATATATGTCAATCTCAATCTTCCAATTCATCCCACCATCCCTCCTCCCCCCACCCGCTTTCCCCCTCTGGTCAGTTTCTTTGGTTCGTATTTTAAATGCCACTTTTTTCTTTCATTGGGGTAGTATTAACAGTTATTTGAGGGTGTTTCTGAATACTCATAGAATAGTTTTCACACTATTTTGGTTAGTATCAAGTTTGTATTTTTCTTTGTCTACAGTAGTAATAATAGAAAATTGTGACACTTTGATCCTTACCTTTCCACTGTCAGTTTGTTATTGTCATCAAAAAACCCTTTTTATATACCCAGCTTCACGTTTAGGTCAGTGCTTGTTAGAGAGATGATCAATGAATATTGTCTTTCCATCTCCAGGTAGATTCAGTACAGCAGTTGTTCTCTCTTAGTCAAACCAGAAAGGGTTCGTTCATGCAGGACATATTTTATACAGTACTACTAACAAAGTAACTGTATCTTTTTTTAAAGTAACCATTTTTGAAGGATGTACTTGTGATAGTATTTTTCTTGAAAAGCTACTCAGTAATCTGCATATTCTGTTTCTTCCCTTTTAAGAAGTGCTTGTTTATCATTTTACTTATGAGGGAAACATTTTTTTCTTTTTGATTGATTAGCATGCTTCCTTTGTAGAATTAGCTTTAATAATTTTAACCTTTTCCAAATTTTTCAAAAACTATCGTCATAAAAATTTGACTCAAAGTGATATTGAACTTATCTTTACCCAGGTATAAAGGGGTGTGCAGTAAAAAACCGAAAGCAAGAAATGGGGATAGATTGATAAATGGTAGGGAAGAACAAGTAGTTATAATGACAGGGTAGGAAGCTTGACGAGTTAACTTCTGTGGGTCTTTTTAAAATTTCTAACCTTCTGCAATCTATTGTCTTCTCACTTGGTGATTTTGTTTTGGAATTTCAAGTTTCCTAAACCATGTTCTTGCTATATAATTACCATATATAGTGCTATTCCAGCAAATCTGATCAGTTCAGCTCTCAGTCATTGCAACCTGTTTGTTTTAATGACAGCATAAATTTTAGTTTACTCCATTTTCAGGTCTGTTTTTTTTAACCTACAGTAAGGTGTTTTTCTTTCTCTACTTTAAGATCATAGTAAATGATGTACCGTTTTCCTTTAAAGGGCAGTAAGATATTTGGTGTGTTCATGATGATGCACATTTAAAAAATTCCAGCCAAGTAGAATTTTTTTAAACTGGTTCTTTACAATTTATCATGATAGATACACATGAGTGCTGAATTATCTTTAGGAATTTAGTGGATATTTTCATAATCTAAACAAAACTTTGTCTTTTTTTTTTAAAGGATATATTTATGTTTATAACAAGGCAGTTGAAGGGGCTAGAGGATACAAAGAGCCCACAATTCAATAGGTATTTTTATTTACTTGAGGTAAGCAATATATTCTATCTTGAGATGACATTTTAAACTGGGTTTTGTGCTTGTATATTTTTACTAATTAAAATCTTACCCTTTTCCTTTTTTATGTCTTATTTTTAGAACATTGCTTGGGTCAAGTCATATAACATATGCTTTGAGTTGGAAGACAGCAATGAAATTTTTACCCAATTATACAGAACATTATTTTCAGTTATAAAGTAAGTTTACTTTACAAAGAATATAATCTTTTTTTAAATGTAAAGAATTTTTAACTTACAGGTGAATCTGCATAAACTGTTAACTATGATGAATATTGGAAGGCTAAGGGTTATAACTTAAGAACTCATTAACATAATTTTTATAGATGTTTTGACAATGAATACAGCTTAATTCTGTACTGTAGAGAATAATATGAGTGGCATAAGGTAATCTGTAGCCAATATAAAAATATTTTTTGACTTATGTTATTTTCTTTTATTTAAATCACATATTACTGACTCCTTAATTCATGTGAATAGTTGAGTTCTTTGTGTATTCCTTAAATTTATCTACTAGAATTAACTTCCGTAAAGTAGTTTGATTTTCTGAATTTAAGGCAAAACTAAAGTTGCATTTGATTTAATTACTTTTGATTGTGAGACTGGTGAAAATTAGGAAAAAGTAATCCCGGAAATGTAATTTAAAAAGTATTTTGGGGCTTCCCTGGTGGCGCAGTGGTTGAGAGGCCGCCTGCCGATGCAGGGGACACGGGTTCGTGCCCCGGTCTGGGAAGATCCCACATGCTGCGGAGCAGCTGGGCCCTTGAGCCATGGCCGCTGAGTCTGCGCGTCCAGAGCCTATGCTCCGCAACGGGAGAGGCCACAACAGTGAGAGGCCCACGTACTGCAAAAAAAAAAAAAAAAAATTTTGGATGCTGTTGTAAGATTTGGAAGAGAGGGAAGCTTTAAATGAATATGTAGAATTTGATTTAATTAATACCTGAGTATCATTTTAAAATAAAGTGTAATGTTCTGTGTTATGATTAAATCTTATAAATTTCAGATATACTTTAAATGAACTATCAATTTTGAATTTCAGCAATGGCCACAATCAGAAAGTTCATATGCATATGGTGGATCTTATGAGTTCTATTATTTGTGAAGGTGATACAGTATCTCAGGAGCTTTTGGATACAGTTTTGGTAAATCTGGTACCTGCCCATAAGGTAAGTAGCAATATATATTGAAATATATCGAAAGCCTGTTAATATTAGGGTCCAGAATTTGCTTACGTTTAAAATGCAATTTATCCTGCTTTATAGTTTTGGAGACTTTTATTTTATTTTATTATTACTATTTTTTTTTCCGGTATGCGGGCCTCTCACTGTTGTGGCCTCTCCCGTTGCGGAGCACAGGCTCTGGATGCGCAAGCTCAGCGGCCATGGCTCACGGGCCCAGCCGCTCTGCGGCACGTGGGATCCTCCTGGACTGGGGCACGAACCCGTGTCCCCTGCATCGGCAGGCGGACTCTCAACCACTGCGCCACCAGGGAAGCCCTGGAGACTTTTATTGATTAATATTAATGTACATCACTTGTGTTTAATAAAACATGATACACTTATTAGTCACTAATTAAATGAAGAAATAACAGATTTAGTACATGTGATAAAGTATCTGTAATAACTCAGTTTTGTATAGAATAATGTTTCAAGGAACACATTAATAGCTACTTTGATGCTATTATATAACTTTATATGTTGGGAGATACACAACCAAATAAGGCCTTAGGTAAAAGACAGTGATAGTGTAGATGGTGGGGAGGGGTGAAATTAAAAGGGAAGTCTTGGGCTTCCCTGGTGGCGCAGTGGTTGAGAGTCCGCCTGCCGATGCAGGGGACACGGGTTCGTGCCCCGGTCCGGGAAGATCCCACGTGCCGCGGAGCAGCTAGGCCCATGAGCCATGGCCGCTGAGCCTGCGCGTCCGGAGCCTGTGCTCCGCAACGGGAGAGGCCGCAACAGTGAGAGACCTGGGTACCGCAAAAAAAAAAAAGGGGAAGTCTTTACTAACTTGGAGAAAAGGATATGTTGATGACACAAGTATTTCTTGCCTGGGTGATATTAATCAAGTTGTGTGTGTGTTTTGGTGTGTTTCGTTCTTTGAAAATGACTAACACTCTAGTAAGCAGTTGGAAATATGGTTCTGTGATTCACCAGTATAAAGGTCTCTGCAAAATTAAGACCTTTCTGGAAAGATATAACTTAAATTTATAGCTACACAGCATTCACAAATATAATGCTTCATTAAAAATGACCTCATAATCCAAAATTTCCAAACTTTTAAGAAGTCCATCAATACTGAAAATCAGACACTAAGTAAAAATTCAGATAATATATTTATTACATAAAAATACTAAATACCTTTAAAAGGATTAAAGATAACACTTTTATGTTTTAATCTCTAGAAGCATAAGAGTTAAAAAGTATGATAGCTAGACATATGAAAGGAGAAGAAGGTATGGTTAGGAAAAAAAGTAGAAATGAAAAATGTTCATAGACATCAAAATATTTTTTGGATTATAAAAGATATTTAGAGAACTAGGAGATACAGCTGAGGAAATTGTACAGATACAGTGAGATAAAGTTAAGGAAGATATAAGCGATAGAATGAAAAGGTCCAGTATATTTAAAAGTGATGCAGAACACCGAGTAAGAATGGAGAAGAGATGATATTCAAGTAGATATTTGCTTAAAATTTTCTAGAACTGATGAAAAGTGTAAATTTATGAGTTAGGTAACAAAAGTGTCATGAACAGAATAAATAAAAATAAACCCCAGTGTAGGCATATCCTGGAGAATTTGTAGAATGACAAAATAGAAATAATCTATAAAGCATCCAGAGGGAAAAGACATAGCCCTTAACAAGGAATAAACATTAAACTGATTGCTGACTTCTCAGTAGCAAGGATAGATGCCAGAACATATGGACCTATATTTCCAAAGTACTGAGATAAAATAACTGTATACGCTGGCACACAGTTGCTATCCAATTTGTGTGAAATTAAGACATTAAATATACAACTTGTCAATAGATCCTTCCTGAAAGAACTACTATTTGAGTACTTTAGAATAATGGAAATTGGACTTGAAGGAAGTGAAATGTAAGAAGTATTGGTGAACAATGAAATGCTCTAAATAAGAACTGACATATAAAACAAAAACAGTAGCAATAATAATTATAATGATTAATTAAAGGGATTTTAACAAAATGGTCCTAAACCACTGGATAAAAATAACATGTAAGATTGAATGGCCTAATAGAGTCAAAGAAGTGATAAGAAGTGATATGATCTTGCTGATGATCAGGAGTATAGAGCTTTTGATTTACTTTGAACTTTATTATTTTTTTAAAATTAATTTATTTTTGGCTGTGTTGGGTCTTCATTGCTGTGTGCGGCCTTTCTCTAGTTGCAGTGAGTGGGGGCTACTCTTCATTGCAGTGCGTGGGCTTCTCACTGTGGTGGCTTCTCTTGTTGCGGAGCACGGGCTCTAGGTGCGCGGTCTTCAGTAGTTGTGGCTCGCGGGCTCTAGAGCACAGTCTCAGTAGTTGTGGTACATGGGCTTAGTTGCTCCACGGCATGTGGGATCTTCCCGGACCAGGGCTCGAACCCATGTCCCCTGCATTGGCAGGCGGATTCTTAACCACTGTGCCACCAGGCAAGTCCCTGACAGGTGGGTTCTTAACCACTATACCACCAGGGGAGCCCTACTTTGAACTTTAAATGAAGTATTCATGTTAAAATTTTAAGGATTACAATGCAAGGAAGAATTACAATAAATGTAAATGGCCCAAATTTACTACTTCAGGTTGTCAGATTAGATTAAAAATAATTCAACTGGTCGTTGTTAATAAGAGATAACAAAAATACTGTCACAAAAAGGTTGTCACTAAAAGGATGGAAAAATGATTTGCCGTGCCAGGCACATAATAACTGAAGGAAAACTGAAGTAACTTGTATTGATTTTAGATGTTATAGTCTTTACCAAGTAAAGAAGGGAGTTATACAATGATAAGTTTTAGTTCTCAGGAAGATGCCTAAACTTGTTTTCACATAGGCTCGATATATATAAAGCATACATTAAAAGAACTATAAGGAGAAACAAACTCACAATTTGGTGGGCCATTTTAATACATTTCCAATTGATTATAAGTCAGATAGACCAACAGTTCTTGAGGATTTTAAAGCAGCCTCTAGCACTCATAATTAATCTGTCAAAAGAGTAAATCATGATGGCAGTTATAAGAAATTTAGAAATAATAATTAAAATGATACATATTAAAACCTGTGGGATTCAACTTAAATGTTGTTTTAATCTAACTTTAATTTTTTTTTTTTTTTTGCGGTATGCGGGCCTCTCACTGTTGTGGCCTATCCCGTTGCGGAGCACAGGCTCCCGACGCGCAGGCCCAGTGGCCACGGCCCATGGGCCCAGCCGCTCCGCGGCACGTGGGACCCTCCCAGACCAGGACACGAACCCGTGTCCCCTGCATCGGCAGGGGGACTCCCAACCACTGCGCCACCAGGGAAGCCCTAATCTAACTTTATAGTTAAAGTGTGAAATTCAAGAGATTATAAAATTATCGTTAGAATATACAGTCTGTACAAGAAAGTAAACCATGAAGAACAGAAATGAATGAAATAGAAAACACAGTGACATTTCAGAAAAACCTAAAGTTGGTAATTCAAAAAAGTATATTAAATAGGCATACCCTTGGCAGTTTGAATCAGAAAAAGGGAGATGGTATTAATATACAGTTTTAGAATGAAATGAGGAACAGCAGGCATTAAAAAGATCAAAAAACAATTCCATGAATAGTATTTTATGCTAACATATTTGGAGTTGGACAAAACAAATTTCTAGAAAATAAAACTTGCCAATTTTTCTCAAGAGAGAAAATCTTGAGTAACCTTTAACCAATAAAAGAAATTTAATTGGTTTTAAAAACTATATCCATAAAACAAACAAAAATATTTCCTCCTAAACAACGATGACAGTAATAATAGCAACAGCAGCAGAACTCAAACCAAGTATGAAGGAATTTAAACACATCACCAGGCGATTTCTATTAATCATTTAAGTGCCATATAATCCTGATATTCAGCAAACTTTTTCAGATTATAGAATAGGAAGGCATGCTCTACAATTCACATTATGAGCAGAATATAGTCTTCATAGGGAAAACTAGAGAAAACCAAGTTCAAGAAAGGAGGATAATAGGCTAATTTATAATACATTCATGTAAATCTAATATAAAATAATAGTGGACACTATACAGAATGTTATAAAGTAATATTGGTAGTGAGCAAATTGGCTAAATTTTAGGAATTCAAAGATGGATTAACATTAAAAAATATTTGTGGAAATTAACAGAAGAGAAAAAATAATCAATAGATGTATAAGAAAACCATTTGATAAAATTTAGTATAACTTATGATAAAAAATATTATTAGCATATTTGAAATAGAAAGGAACTTCCTTAAATTGATAAGGTTATATATGATAACTGCACTTAATGGTGAAATGCTGAAGGATTTTCTTTGAAGTTAGGAACATTGTCAAGATGTCACTTCTACTCAGGAAAAAGTCAAGTTTGCTATTTCGAATAGGCATTAAACTAGAAGCCTTAAGTTAGTGGAGTAAAACGAGACAAAAAATAAAAGGATTAGAAAGAAGAGACAAAACTGAAATTATTTGCAGATGTTACAACTGCCTGTGCAGAAAACACAAAACAATGTACAGATTAGTTTCTAGAACAAAGAAGAAAATTCGGCAAAGTTGCTAGATATAAGATCAATATATAAAAATCTGTTAGTATAATTTCAAAAAATTTTTATTTGTATCTTTAACAAAGACTTGAGCTACTTAGAAATTTATTAACAATATGCATGACCTTAATGTTCAAAGTTTTTACAGTTGTTGGAGAAGTGTAAGAGACGACTTAACTATGTTGCATGATTTGTTACAGTTGTTTATGTAATGGGAAACTCAGTATCACAATAATTTCATTCCTCTACATACTAATAGATAACCTAATCAAAATAGAAATTGTGAATGTGTATTGCGTGTATATATGTGCATGTGTCTATAGTTTGACAAATTGGTTTCTGAAGAAGAATAAGAAAGCGGGGACTTATCTTACCTGGTGTTAAGACATTATTTCCATATGTCCCTTTGACTGTAATCAGGCAGTAATAGACAAAGGGACATATGGAAGTAATGGAAAATTTACAAATGGGTACATGGTTGTATAGAAACTTGAGAGTGTGAGTATTACAGGGAAGTCATTGGAGGGAATAATGGACTTGAATATCCATATGGAAAATAATATAAGATTCTTATTTCACACCATGCATAAAAATAAATTACAGGCAGAATAAAGATCTAAATCTGAAAAGCAAATCTTTGAAATTTTATTTGAAAATATAAAACAACAAATTAACCTCAATATAGAAAAGAATTTTAAAAATATAGAGAGCGCACAAGCCAAATAGGAAAAGATTAATATATTTGGTTATATTAAAATGAAAACTTTTGTATGTCCTAAGATACCATAAGCATTGTAAAAACATAGGTATAGGCTCTAAGATATGTTGTGCATGTAATTGGCAAATGTTTAGTGTATAGAGAAACTCTACAAATAAGAACAAGACAAAACAGCTCATTTGAAAAAAGGCAAAGGTAGTATTTATAGAAAATTATTTCTTATATGCACAAGGAGGCATGTATCAACACAAGACAGTTTAATGTCTATGAATAGGAGAATGAGTAAATAAGCTGTAGCATATTATAAATGAAAATACTAAACAGCAGTTAGATATTAATGAAATGATACAATACAAAGCATCAATGCAGATAAATCTAAAAATACGCTGAATGTGAGTTTCAGGATATACACAGTTTTCCTGCTGTCTGTAATATGTTTGAACTGGAATAGTGATTCCATTTCAGATCTTTGGTCATGATTCTTTCCATCATCAAAATCTCTTAGAAACAGTTTCTTAAGGTATTGTTTCTTGTGCTTTTTTTCTTTTCATACTTGACTATGTTTCTTTTTTTTTTTTTTTTGGCAGTGCTACATGGCTTGTGGTTTCTTAGTTCCTTGACCAGGGCTCAAACCCGGGGCCCCGGCAGTGAGAGTGCTGAGTCCTAATCACTGGACGGCCAGGGGATTCCCTTGTTATGTTTCTTATATCCTTGGGCTTCCCTATGCTCTGAGATGTGCTTCGGGAAAATCTGCTTTCCCATAGCTGCCCCAAACTCTTTTGTCTTTCGCCACCTGAGGATTCCCCATTTCTGCCCGCACTAGGACCCAGTTCATTCTCTTATGATGTTTTGGTTCTTTTGGTCTTGGAGTGAAATAACCTGTATTTGTACTCAGCTGAACTGATTTGACTTTACAGCTAGCTTTACAGTGACTCATTATCTCCTTTTCTGTCTAATAAACATTTATTGACCTTTTCTATGTGGTTTACCTTATGCTGTGAATAAGATATGAAGAGAATATAATTATCCTTGCTTGGAAGGGATCTTAAGATCTACTAGACCAGTTAGTCTTAGGAGAAAAGTGGCTTTGCCGTCGCCCTTTTATTCGAATTGAATCTTAAACAGTTTTCTCATTCATTGACTTAACAGTAGCTTTTTGAATACAGGTAATATTTCCTTTTTCATATTTAGTGGTGTATAACATAGATACTGTTGTTTTTTGTTTTCTTCAGAATTTAAACAAGCAAGCATATGATTTGGCAAAGGCTTTACTGAAGAGGACAGCTCAAGCTATTGAACCATATATTACCAATGTAAGTTTTACTTGTCCAATTGGTTGTCAGAAAGATTAGCCAAAATTTTAAAGACTGCTAGAAGCAGAATTTCGGCAAGTGGTACATACTTTAACATTTCATATTGTTTTAATAATTAAGTGTATTTTTTTCTCCTTATTTAAAATTATTATTGGTTAATATTTTCTAGAAAATTAGCTCTCATATTCTTTGTTCATTCATTTCTCTCTTTCAAATTGCCTAGGAACTAAAACAGTTTTTATTTTGGTTAGCAAGATATACTGTTTCTATTCTTGGAAATCGAGTTAAATGTAATTAGATAAATCTTATGGAACTTATCATTATTCAGAGAAGTTGCTTACAGCTTTTTGGAAATTAAATTGATTTGTATAAGAAGAAGATATGAACTAATATCAAGACATAAAAATTGAAGGCAAGTATGAATGACAGCGGTGTGGTGAAAGTTGCCTATCTTGCTCTCCCTGGGGTAGATTCCATATAAGTCTACCTTTTCTGAGAAGGGGGAAGAATTGCAATGAAATGAGCCCTTTCATTATCATCTCAAATCTACTTATTTATGGTTAACGATCTATTTATTTTCAGAAGAAATGTATTTTATCTGATAGATTCACTGATAGAAGCTTATTATAAATTTTAATTTTCCCCCCATAGTTCTGTTGAGTTGCACAACTCTAGGTGGCACCATTCACATTGTTTTTCATGTGAATGGTACCTACTGGAACAAATCTAGAATGCAGTCTTGATGTTGGCCTCTGGAATTGTGTAGCTGGTCTGTCTCTCCACCTGCTTTCCAGTTTTACCCAGATCTAAACATGTAAATCTGTCTTGAAAAAAGTGAGAAAGAAAACCTTTTATAATTACTTATGTACTTAATTTTCCTGAAGTTTATTGAAGGAGAGTTTTTCTTGAAGTAATACAAAATTTAATTTAGTATATAAAAATACATCATGAAAAGATGTACTTTGAAAATTAACATACTTTATGGAACAGTACTATGGTAAATTCCAGTTTTTTTTTTTTTTTTTTTTTTTTTTTTTTTTTTTTTTTTGTTTGTTTGTTTGTTTGTTTGTTTTTTGCGGTCCGCGGGCCTCTCACTGCAGCGGCCTCTCCCGTTGCAGAGCACAGGCTCCGGACGCGCAGGCTCCGCGGCCATGGCTCACGGGCCCAGCCGCTCCGCGGCATGTGGGATCTTCCCAGACCGGGGCACGAACCCGTGTCCCCTGCATAGGCAGGGGGACTCTCAACCACTGTGCCACCAGGGAAGCCCAAATTCCAGTTTTTGTTACTGGCTTATGACCTTAAATAGTTGTGAGCACATGATGATTTGGAAAAATGTATTTAATTTGTAAAGAAATTGTTTTGGAGGGTGGACTTTCAGAATCTGGAGAATTAAATTGTGTAATCTGTCTTAATAGCTCCAGTCAGATTGCCAGGGAATTCTAAATATTGATTTCTGCAAGGTTTGTGAGTCTTGGGTATTGGCTGCAGTAAATTGGTTACATTGAATGGATTGAGTTCTTTCTGTTATGACATAATGGCACTTGAAATCTGTAGAACCAGATTTAAGCATTCTGTTATTAAGTGCCCCTTCCCTTTTCCTTTGCTTCAAGTGCCTGTGAATGACTGTTTCTGTGGCCATTAGATACACTTAGGTGAGCTCCTCCTGGTGGTCATTTATTTAAGTTGGTATTGCTGAGCCAGATGTTTTTTAGGGGAACACTTACCTTTTTCTGATGCCTTTTTCTGGCATTAAAATAAGAAATTAACACTATACTACATTGATATATTTTCTAGGATTGGGAAAATAAATATTTGGGTAATAAAAAATATTCAAGATAGAATGAGATGATTAGGTTCATTATACTATTCTCTCAACATCTGTGTATGTCTGAAAATATTTATAATAAAAGTTAAAAGAAAGAAGGATGAAGGAAATACTTCTAGCAATCCCAGGTAAATTAAGGTAAAAACATTTCCCTGTCACTTAAACCTGTTAATTTCCTGCTCTTAGTTCTTACCTACAGAAATAGACAGTCCCATCCATACTTGATTATGTCTTTATCAGAAGCTGGGGCTGGGGGCAAGAGGCACAGGATTAGTAGAATAGTCTGAGCACACTTTCAGTTATATATTTATTTGTTCCCATTACTTTGTCATTATTTTCTTATCTCTCTCTCTTTTCCCTATTTTCTTGTCCCTTAACTTATTTGAGAGTTAGCTAAGAAGTCATTAAGAATTGCTTTTTTTTTCCTCCTCTTCTCCCTTATAAATCTACAGTTACATGTAAAATACTTTCTGGTGAGCTTAATTTCTTGTGAGATTTTAGTAGTGTAAAAATCATTTTCAGCCTTTTTGGATTTGTATATGTAATAGCCATTATTCATATATCTTCCTAGTAGAGAATTAGCAAGCAAAAATAGAGGTAGGATGTCAAGGTAATAATAACCCCACTTCCATCTCTTTTTTACTTGTGTCTTTTTTCAGTCTCATGCATATAGACATATTCAAGTTTCCTCTTTATATACAGTGTTGTTTACATATATAGAACTTAAGAAGTCACTGTGGCGTTATAGATTACTTTTTTAAATAAATTTTTTTGTAACTTGACAACTCATGAAACTAAAGTGTGTGTGTGTATGTGTGTGTGTGTGTCCATATATATATATATATATATATATAAAAGGTACAACAGTATCAAAAACAAAAAGTATGTAGTGACAATTCAGAAAATTTCCTACATGGATCACTTCTTGGTAATGTTGTTATTTTTTACCAGATCTTTTTAATCACAAGTTTTAGGGGATAGCACAGAAGTTTTTTGTTGGATTGAAAAAATGTATCAAGCTTGTCTTGATGTAGGTAAAATTTGGTTAATTTGCTTAATCTCACTTAGCCTTAGTTATTGGAGTTAATAATGCTTGGGGTGATGGTAGAGAATGTGTTAACTGATGTGAAAGCACTTTTGTAATTAAAATTGATCATTTAAATCTAAGGTAGAATTTCTTATTGACCTTTAACTTACTCCTCGTACTCTTTTCATTAGGAGGCAGTTGTTATAATTTAATTTGTTATGTGAAAATTAGTTACCATTTGTAAGTAAAAGACTAATGTTTTTTGGTAGGAAATACTTTATTCAAATCTATATCTGCTTCACTGAATTGTATACCCTCAGGAAGGTTGTTTCACCTATAGCTCTATTATAGTACCTGTTACATATCATTTATTCATTTATTGAATCTATTTTGGATACCTCTCTGTCAGGCAGTGTACCAGGTTCTTGTTATACAGTGAAGACTGACTTGGAGATAGATGGAGATTATAAGTGTCAAATAAATGTTTTTGATGGAATTTGTAGGAAGTTACACTGGTTTTTTTGTTGTTGTTGTTTTTTCCCATTTTCAAATGAGTTTTCCCCAGACTGATAGAAGAAGAGGATGGTTTGATCACCAAGATGGCCAGATTGGAAAGGATTATTTTCTGTTAAGAAAGGTAGATATATCATTTTTAAACAGGAGAAATTTTTCGAATGGAAACAACGAAGCCACTTTATCTTCAACTTGAATGAGAATTTAACCTTTGGTGTCATGAAATTCTTTTCCCACAAAATTGATGAACGTGGAGGACAGACGAGTTATTTTTAAAACCAATAAAGAAAGAATAGTAGAATTTTTTTCTTTTTATCCCTTCATGGCTAGGTGGTTGGTACAGGTTCATAGATCTAAAAAACTTAAGAACAATACAGGAACTAAAAGTAAGCAGAGGAGACATTGAAATGTAAAGTCCTGACTGTACTTTCCAGATAGAAAACCTGATTAAGCCAAGTTGTTTGTTAACTGTCACAGAAAGAAGAGATCAGGGCAGCTTGTGTGGTGTAAAGAATCCTTAATTCCTTCTTCAAGGAGATAAAAGATACTGTGGAGAATATGTGGGGTATGCTCTGGGTTAATTTTTTACATATTTGGAAGACTTTAAATAGAAAGGAACTTGATCATTATGCCATGTATTTTTACCATTTTCAGTAGTAACATGATGAATGGCCTGAGTGTGGAAACTAGTTAGTGCTGGCTGCTTATAGAAAAAAATTGTTCATATTTGGATTTTCCTTGTGTTTGTATGTGCTTTTAATTGGACTTTAATTAGTGCTATAAACTTTGTATGTATGTATACATTGTTTATCAGAATATAAAAGAAGACAAAGTATTAGAAAGATATTGTTTTGCCTTGTAAATATAAAATTATGTATTTTAAAAATGGAATCGGTTTCTACTATGAAGGTGTAAGGCTTTGTCTTCCATACTGTTGTCTCCCATACTGCTGTGGTGAACAAAATGTGATCCCTTGCCCTTAAGAAATTTATCTAGTAGAGAAACTAAGACATGTGTACAAATAACTGTAATATAGGATAAAATATGGTAAGTACCATAATGTGGAATAAAGTGTATTTGGTGGGTAGGGTATTTATTGATATGCTAATTGACGAGTCAGTACAAATTATTGTCTTCTAATATGTACGAGGTGAATTCCATGTTTTATGTTTTTATGTAGCCAGTAGTGATTTCCCACCTTCTTAGAAAATGTTTTGGTATGCCTGTTTTCACTCTGTATAGAACGATAATGAACTTAATTGAATAATAAAATTTCAGAAAATTCACTTTATCTATGTTGTTTCTATTAATGATAAATTTTCTTTCTCAAAAGTTTTTTAATCAGGTTCTGATGCTTGGGAAAACATCTATCAGCGATTTGTCAGAGCATGTCTTTGACTTAATTTTGGAGCTCTATAATATTGATAGTCATTTGCTGCTCTCAGTTTTACCCCAGCTTGAATTTAAATTGAAGGTAACTATTCTAAAAATAATATGGTTTTATCAACCAGATTAGCAAAGCACATTATTTGTGGGTTTTTAATCCTTATAGTGGTTTTAACTGAATGTTGCCCATGTGGTGGTATTACTGTTATTTATTTACATGTTTGTGCCTTGCATATTTGTGTATCTCCAGTGCCTGGCATGGTGCCTAACAGATAAAATCTGATGAATTAATGATTAGCAGAATGATATTTTCCTTCATATGTTTTCCAGATAAATTCTGGGTTTTGACTAACTTTTGAGGTCATGGGTATACATCAAACTTTTACGTTTTTAAGGCATAGTTTATAGTGGTTCCCAAGACCCCTTGATGTGCCATAAAAATAGTTTAGGATCTATTGTCCACATAGGGTGAAATCTTTTCCCTCTATGAATATTATCTTGTACTTGCCTAGCCTATCTTGAAAGCTCCTTTGCTTTTCACATGGCTTTCTGGAATCTTTTGGTAACGTCCTTATTGCCTTGGCATTACATTATGCCATAAAATTGAGTTTCATTTGCAGATTTGGGGCATGTTTTCTCTTTCAAATTATTACATAAAGATTAAATAAATCTGGTTATAATTAATACTCTGATGAACCCCACTGTACCACCTAGAAAAGTTTTTAAATGATTTCTGTGTTGTATTTCTTGTTTCTAAAAATTTGAATGTCTCTTTGAAAATTACAAAATAAACAGTTTATGTTGGTAGTGTAAATACCTCCAAAATGCAGCAAATAATTATTCTCATTTTATGCTGGGGCATATTTTTGGTGTATTTCTCAAGTGAGACATTTGATTCACTGGCCTTCCTCTACCCCCTTTTTTCATGTAGTTAGCAATTTTGATGAGGCAAAAGGCAGTCATACCTTTAATTATTTGTTGCTTTGATTTTCTCTAATAAAAATATTGAATACTGTAAGAAATACAAAAATAAGAATTATCATCCCTGCTTTCAGCAAATTTAACATCTATTATGGGAGGAAGAGGAAAAAATCCATATCTAATAAGAGGCCAAATATTATAAGTATCATAAAAGATACAGACAGCATACAGTTGAAGCAAAGGAAACAGCATGCAGAATCATATAGAGGTAGGAAGGTGCTGGGTGAATTTGCAGAACGCAAAGAATTACAGTTGCATGGTAGCATAAAGTAAGTTTAAATCATTCCTGGCTGCCCATTAGAATCTTCACCTGTGGAGCCTTAATAAACAAACAGATGTCCAGGCATTAACCGAGATCAGAATTTCTGGCAGTGGAGTCCAGACATGAGTTTTTGTTTGTTTGTTTGTTGTTTCTTAAAAGCCTTATAGGCCATTCTAACGTGCAGCCAGGGTTAAAACGTACTTTTTTAGAGGAATAATCAAATAATAGAGATGAGTCGGGTCATACCATGGGGGCTTTAAATGCTGGGCTTTGGCATTGGTTTAAAATTTAAAAGATCTGTACAGTGCCATCCAAGTACCTTGAATATTAGTACTTTTAACAATCTCTGTCACATTTTGTGTTCAAGTCTAGTATTGTAGCTGGCTCATTCATTTAAATATTGTCATTTGTTGGAGGTACCAAAAGCAGTAATAAAATTTGAGTTCTCATCCCCAGAGTACCCATTTTCTATATAAAGTGGAAACTTTAGTTTTTGCATGTGTAAGGCTTCCTCATGTCATTGAACTCCATTATGAATCTGGTGTATGTAGGTGAACTGACTCTCCTGTTGGGAGATTTAGTGCATATTTATTTCTACAAAGGGCTTAACAAGTACCTTCATACATAAGTCTCTGTTTACTGTAGGATTGGCCTCTATCAGTGTCTGTTCTTAAAGACCACAAATAGTTTTTCAAGGGTCCCAAGTAGGTTTGATGCAAGTTAGTTTTTGATTTTGATTTTGAATGGAAACAAGCCTCAGTTGTAGGAGGGGCCACTAAATTTTAATCGGACTTTGGGATGAATTTTCATGTAGGAGAGTACTCCTTTAATGTAATTTGAGATGATTAGAATATTTAAGGTAACATTTAATTTTATGAAAAATATATTAAACATTTTTATTTATAATTTTTCAGCTGAAGTTCATAAAAGGTTTTCTGTGGAATTGGAGATTAAGGGAAATCAGGGGAAAAATTATTCTCAGTATATCTACCTCATGGTTTTAAAGCTGTGGTTGTGTTTTGTTTCAGAGCAATGATAATGAGGAACGCCTTCAAGTTGTTAAACTACTGGCAAAAATGTTTGGGGCAAAGGATTCAGAATTGGCTTCTCAAAACAAACCACTTTGGCAGTGTTACTTGGGCAGGTATATGATTTTGGTGTCCTGTTTAAAAGTAATATGTGTTTATATCTACTTACTATTTTAAAACAGCACCCACATTTAAGATTGTTTTCTGAAATTATAAAAATGAGGGATTTTATATTTTGAAATTCTTGAATGCTGATGGCGATTGGCCATATTTACAGTTTCCCCTGATTTTGTCTTCAGTAATTTTTAAAAGATGATACATTAAAAAAACTATCTCACAAAGTATTATAATCATGAAATTGAAGTGTATTGTTACATAGCAGTGATTGATTAATTCCAACCATAAATACATCATGGTGAGATACAGCCTCTCCACAAAGAAATTATATTTAATTAGATTATTTGGAGACATTGTAAAGATAAAAGGGTATCCATTATAATGAATAAATAAATGATTATGTATATTCCTCCTACTAACCTCCTTTCTACATTTCTTATGATAATGAGGAAATGATAAGCTGGGCTTCTTATATGCTTTTAATGATCCACAAACCTCCTGAAATCGGTTGCAAAATTTTGAATGTGTTTCTATATTTTTTCTGTGAGAGGGGTTTATTTTATTACTTTTCTAAAGATACCCCGACCTTGAATATGTTAAAACCACTTCCAAGTGCCCTGGCTGAAACCTACTTTGACCCTGAGGATAGAGGAGGATTTTTTTTCTACGTTTTATAATTATTCTTATAACAAATCATGCAATTAAGTCGTAAATAAACAAGTAAATAGGATTGAGATTCTTACTCTGTTTTCTTTGCATTGAAATATTTGCATTGTCATCACCACTTTTCTTTCCATTTTGTTACCGGAACTATCAATGATTATGATAAAGATAATCTCTTCTGGTCTTGTTTTTCTAATTTGTCAAATCATCTAAGCCTTTATATGTTAAGCCCTAAATTCTTACTCTGTTTTCTTATCTCTTATGTAGCTCAATAATAATATTTAACAAGGTGTGTTAAACTAATAAATATTAGCCCATTGTCATTTTGAGTTTGATTTCTAGACTTTTCCCCCTTAAATACAATGAGCAAGAGGGCAAAATAGTTTAATTAAACTGTGCAACTAAAATCAAAATCTGTTTTATTTAATGTGCTAAAACAAATAGTTTTACATATAGACATTTCATATATCTTTAAATCAGGACTTGGATTAGCCAGACTTTATAGGATTTTAGGAGGAAAAATTCTAATTTAAATTTTTTACCTTTTGATTACATTGTAATTTTTCCTTTTTTTATTAATGACATAAAACTTGCACATTATTACCAATTTTAGGGAGCTAGAGTATTTTTTTAAAGATGTCTTTTAATGGTTATTTGGTACATGTTTAGTTGAGAAAGGTTAAAGTGTATAGGGATTGAATACTTGGATTCAGAACACTCAGGAAACTATATGAGACCAGAGACTAGATTTTTTTTTTTTTTTTTGCGGTACGTGGGCCTCTCACTGTTGTGGCCTCTCCCGTTGCGGAGCACAGGCTACAGATGCACAGGCTCAGCGGCCATGGCTCATGGGTGCAGCCGCCCCGCGGCATGTGGGATCTTCCCGGACCAGGGCACGAACCCGTGTCCCCTGCATCAGCAGGCGGAGTCTCAACCACTGTGCCACCAGGGAAGCCCCAGAGACTAGATTTTATAGACTAGATTTTTTTGAGTGTACTTCATAAAGCAGTTTGTTTCCTAATAATCTTTTATGAGTAATTTGTTGCTCCTTCAGAAGACTTTTTTTCTTTTTGATGCTAAATTTTGTTTCTTATGGTATTAGGTGATACAAGATTTGGAGACTTCTTGGTCTTCGAGAATTAAGACATGAAAATGTCAAATGGAAAATTCTTGCTTCACTTTAACGTTCTTGTTGTTACTTAAGATTTTAAAAAAAACCCACTGCTTTGTAGTCCACAATGAACTTATGTGTATAGGCTTTGAACATCAATGGTTTAGAGACAACTAGGCATCATGTGCTTCCTGGTGGAGGAACACAATGCCATTATCAAGTAGTCTTGCTAAAAAATGAACCTGAATATGATGAAGTCTCTAGACCTGATTCCTAATGTGCAGGATTTAGGAGAGAGGGGAACCTGTTAATTGACATCAGAATGATAAAATTATCAAAATCGAAACTGTGGAAAAACACTACACACACAAACACAAAACAGTTGCTTCACCAGATTACAAAGGAAAAGAAAAAGATAGAGAGGGAAAATATGAGTAAAAGATACTTTTAAATGACTTATCAACCAAAGAGTTTTAACTTTTTAGAGATACATACTAAGGTATTTACATATACATGTAAAAATTTGCTTTGATATTAGTGGAAATAATTATGATAGGAATAATTTTGGCACAATTTTAGAGTCATATAAAGTAATACAGGGTTTAGTGCAAGATCTACCAAACATTTATGAATGTTCTGTATTTAAGAAAGAATAATTTGAGGAAAAGCTTTCTTTTCAATGTGGGATTTAATAATGTATATGTGTATTATGTATACACAATATACTTGCATAAACAGATACATTTGAAATTATAGGGCTTCCCTGGTGGCGCAGTGGTTAAGAATCCGCCTGCCAATGCTGGGGACACAGGTTTGAGCCCTGGTCTGGGAAGATCCCACATGCCGCGGAGAAACTAAGCCATACGCCACAACTAGTGAGCCTGTGCTCTAGAGCCTGCGAGCCACAACTACTGAGCTTGCATGCCACAGTTACGGAAGCCCACATGCCTAGAGCCCATGCTCCACAAGAAGAGAAGGCACCGCAATAAGAAGCCTGCACGCCACAATGAAGGAGTAGCCCCCGCTCGCCTGAGCTAGAGAAAGTCCATGCGCAGCAGCAAAGACCCAACACGGACAAAAATAATAATAAATAAAATAAAATAAATAAATTTATATATAACAAAAAAGAAAGTATACTATTTATAGGAAAAATTTTGTCATTCCAGTTCTTGTATTTGAGCCAAATGTGTACTGTTTAAACATCCTCATTAAAAGTACATAGTTGTCACAGGAGATTGACCTAGTTTAATATAGAGGTTCCAAAGCATTCTTCCATATATAGTATATCAAAAACTTTGTTAAAATAGTCTGGTTCTGCTTTGAATTATCCTGTATAAATTGTTTTTTCTTTTAATTAGAGAAATATAAATTAAGCACAGGTTAAACACTTATCTGTCTCTCTTACTTTAAAAATTACTCTGTGACTTTATATTTTATCAGGTTTAATGATATCCATGTACCAATCCGCCTGGAGTGTGTGAAATTTGCTAGCCATTGTCTCATGAACCATCCTGATTTAGCAAAGGACTTAACAGGTACTGTATACCCATAATGGCAAATATTCCTAGATGCTCTTTGGTGAAAAAAATTGGTTTTATATATAGGAAAAAAAACCTTTTTATTTTTGATGGTTTTTTGTGATTATTGTCAGTGAAGTCTTCTTGTTTCAGTTCATTATCATGGTGAAACTACAGTTTTTACCTCCTAGTACCTACATAGGCTAGAAGCACTTACATAAAAAGTAGCATTATCAGAGACAATATTGGTTTCTTAATTTAAGAACAATTCTAAAAGTATTTCAGGCATTTGGATTTGAACAGGTCTTGACTTTGAATAGATTATGGGACTTCAGTCGTCTTTAATATTTTGAGAACTTAGGTGAGAGTCATTAATTTATGAACTAATTTAACCATGCTTAATGGAGGTAACTTTTCTGAAATCTGTATATTGATGAGGTATTTGAGAACTCTGCATTTTTATAGTAATGAGAATACTGTGTATCTGACTGTTGCTGCTCTGTTAAGGTTTTTAAAGTTATGAAATAGTTCAGAGAATACGGATGAATACAGCAGCCACTATCTTAGAAATGTTAGCATTTTGCTGTATTAGCTTAGGAGGTTAAAAAAAGAAAGTAAATTATAGATACAGTTGAAATGCTGTTCACAAACTCCTCTCATTCCTACTTCTGTAGAGGGTAACCTCTCTATTAAATTTGTTGTGCATTCTGTTCATGTTTTTCTATCTATGTCACATGTATATCTGTACATAAGTTATATATAGTATTCTTAGGTGATTTGAAAATTTTATTGAAATAATTTGATATAGTTGAACTTATTCCTACTATCTTATTTTGTGTTTTCTATTTTGCATGCCTATTCTTTGCTTCTTTTATTTCTGTTTTTCTTCACTTCTGCTCCACTGATTACTTTTCTTTTCATTTTTCCTTTTTTATCCATATGGGCTTGGAAGTTACATTCTCCTTCATGCTTTTACTGCATAGTTGATTAATAAAGTCTGAAGTTAATCAGAACACTAGCTTCTTTCTGAGCAGTCCAGGACCCTCGAATGGTTTACCTCTGAGCACTACCTTCCCATCTTTCATATTATTGCTTGTTATTATTTAGTTATTTACTCTTTTTAAAATTTTACCAGCTTATAGTACATTTTAAACTGCTTTTTCTGGGAGATATCCTGCTTGGAGAACCCTCTGTCTACCTGCTGACAGCTGAACTTGGACTGCTCGCTGTGTGTGAGCTTCTCATTTATAGCATTCATCTTAAGATAATCCATTCTTCCTCTCTCTTTTGCCTTCCCCCTCTCCTTCCCTTCTTTTCTCCCCCCTTCTGTGTGACCCTGAGTGTGTGTGTGCGCGTGCGTGCATGGGTGTGTCTGTGTATGTCTGTCTGTTTCTTCCTTTTCTCTTCCTCCTTTTATCCAGGATGTTTCTTTTACTCTGGAACATCCTTTTTTTGTGTTATGGGTGCAGTATTCTCTGAGAATATTAGTGATAGTATTTTGGAGTTTTCTTTCTCTTAAAAATGTCTGTTTCACCCACTTGTTTTTCCCACTTTTTGTTTGCTTTTGTCTGTATTTTCCATATTAGAGGCTTTCCTCAAATGCTTGGCAGTCCATGGCTGTCGGCTTTTATTAAGAGTGGGGGACTAAATTAGAAGCTGTTCAGAAAGCCCTGAGCGTACGGATGAGATTGTTCACTCTGAACTTCACTGTAGGGTGATCAGGGTGGGTTGTTTGTTGGAAAACCTTTAGTTTAGATACTTTCTCTTTGGCTATTCAGATTCCCCAGAAAAGAGTATCCTACCAGGAGTTTAATTTTAATTGCTTGTGTCTTTGGGACACCAAGTATTATTACTTTATTTTTTATTATAGAGTAGTATTTCATTGTATGAATACACCATAATTTGCTTATATCCTTTTTTTTTTCTTTTGATGGATATCTGGGTTGTTTTTGGTCTGGGGCGATTATGATTAAGATTACATTGAATATTCTTGTATAAGTGTTTCTGTGGATTTATGTTTTTATTTCTCTTTGGAACTACTTAGGAGTAAAATTGCTGGTCATAGGGTAAATGTATGTTTAACTTTATAAGAAATGACCAAGTTCTTCATAGTAGTTACACTATTTCCCACTTGCACCAGAAATGTTTGAGAGCGCAGTTGTTCAGCATCTTTGCCAACATTTTGTATTGTTAGTCTTTTTGGTTTTAGCCATTCTCATAGGTCTTGATGTTTGTTGTGATTTTAATTTGCATTCTCCTGATGACTAATGAGATTAGTCATCTTTTTATGTGCATATTGATACATATGTTCTTTCATGAAGTATCTGTTTAAATTTTAAACCCATCCTTTTTTAATTGGCTTGTTCGTCTTCGTTTTTTTTTTTCTCTTGTTGATTTGTAGTAGTTCTGTACATAGTCTGTATCTTTTAAAAGTATTTTTTCCATAGTCAGAACTTCAATGCATTGTTTACTCTTGGCTAAATAATAGATATTTTGTTTTTTTATAGCTGTCTGAAATATACTTTAGATGTGAATAATTTCACCAATAACCTTTTTAGTCCTTATCATTGTTTTGAATGTTTTGCTTTATCAAAGGATAGTGTACAGTTTCATTTTTTATGAAACATTTATCTTGTTATGTATTTCCTAGTCTCTAGCCTCCTGGCACATTTTAATTTTTAGAGTTGGCTAAAAGACAGATTTGAAAATTCTAGGGGTCTAACTATTAATGCAGATTTTCAACCACTGCACTCCATGTTTGCAGCTGCTGTCTTCATCTCTGCCTTTCTCATTGCTTGGTGCCTTGAATTTCAGGGTTCTTCTACCCTGGAAATGAGCTTGTCTATGGCTTTTCTGTCCCTTTTAGGTTTCATCCTTCTCTTTTGTCCCTGGGCATTTACCAGTCATCCATCTGCCAAAATTTTGGTGAGAAGTCTCTTCTGCTATGATCTCTTCTCTTGTTACTTGTCCCTTTTAAAAGACATTTTCTTAGGGTTTCAGGAGTGAGTTGAAATAAATATGTTAAAAACATACATTTATCTTCTTTTCTCCATAGTGTGTTTGTGAGCTTCATCCTGTGCCTTCAGCCAAGTTTTGAGGGACGTAGCCATATTGGGAAGAGTATTGTTAGATGCTGCATCATGCTAACTGTTGAGAATTTCTTCTTTGTCCTGTTTTCTCTTCCTCTGCACAGTTAATATCTATAAGTTAATAGCTCTTGCGTATACCTGTTTAATATGAATGATTTGTTTTAGTGAAATGAGGATGTATCTGAAAATTGATGGTGTGTCATTGGTTTTTCCATTTTTTAGTGACACCTGAAATAATAATACATATTGCATTTGAAACAAGTGCAGCAAAAGATAAAAACTCCTGTCTTTATCTTGAGGGGTAAATGAATTTGAGATATATTTAGCATGGGGCGTTTGAAATCAATCCTAAAAATAACCTTGTTTTCTGTGATACATAAAATAATATTTCCATTTCTTCAGAAGTTTTTTAGCGACATATTGTCTTAAACACTTTTTGAAATAGTTCCTATTAGTAGAGAATGCTCAAGGTGGAGGGGCTTAGGACCTGGGCATTGATTTTATGAGCTTTTGCATTATATTGTTAACTGTTAATTTATTGAGAAGTAAATCCATTCACAATCATAAGTTCTGTTTGTTGTTTATAGAATGGCTATGTATGTTACTCCAGATCCAAACAACAAAATTTTATCTTACTGGTCATATAATTAAAAAGCTGAATAATAATTTATGTTGACTTGTGGTACCTCTTCTTTAAACCTAATATATCATTGCTGAAGATTGTTAATTTTTCCTTTCAGCTTTCTCAGTTCCAGATCTGAACTTCCATGTTTTTGACTTTAAGATTCTCCTCTAGTCACTCGTAATTGTTAAGTGTTTCATTTCTTCTGTCTTCCCTTTGGCCTTCCTTTTAGTTCAGTTAAACAGAATTGCCTTATGGTCTTTCCTGTAATCCTGTTTCTTGGCTGCCATTACCTTAGTTTTACTCTTTCAATAACTTCACTAAAGGTTTACATAGTTAAGGGATAGAAACTTGAATTCTCTAGCCTTTTCCGATTAGAACCACTTGACTTGAATATTTTAACAATTTAAAAAACAAAAGTGAAATATTTAACATTGATATACTTCTTGGTTCATGTATATGGTTTGTTGAATTAATGAGTTTAGGAACTCCTTAGTTAACTACCCTGTCCCACAAATGGGGAGGGGATTTACTACTCAGTTGCATGTAAACTACTGTATTTTGCCTGAAGGACTGACCTTCTTTCCTTCTCTTTCTCCCTTTCTCTCTTACCTACTCGTAATGTTTTTGAAATATTGAACCTTGTACTTAGGTTTTGTTTTGTTGTGGTTTACTTTCAAAGATCTTATGCAATCTTTTCAAACATTTTAGTTGTCAAAGTTTCATTTTAATAAAATAAAATTTTATCTTTCAGAGTATCTTAAAGTGAGGTCACATGACCCTGAGGAAGCTATTAGACATGATGTTATTGTGTCTATAGTTACAGCTGCTAAAAAGGATATTCTTCTGGTCAATGATCACTTACTTAATTTTGTGAGAGAGAGAACATTAGACAAACGGGTAAGTAGGGTTAATAATTATTAGTAGGTTTGCATTTTGAATACTTGAAGTTTAATAGTATTTCATTTGAAAATATTGAGATTTAAAAGTAATTAGCCCTTTTTTGGGGGGAGGCATTTTAATATCTAAAATAATGTTTATGAGAAGATTTTACTTTTTGTTACATTAAATTTTATTCATTTTTCTTTATTAGGATTATTTGTTCTCATCCTCAAAATGGGTCAGCTCTAAATGGTAGAGTAGTCAGATGTTTAACCTGTACACTAATTTTAGTAAGTGACTTTTGAAAAGGCCTCTGAACACAACTTCTCTTTTCTCTTTTTCCTTTCATATGGGTATCAGTTCATAGTCCTCTGGCTGATTGTATTATCATTTCTATGGAATAGAAAATACAAGATGTTTTCTTTTTTCTTTTAATTAATTAATTAATTAATGGCTGTGTTGGGTCTTTGTTGCTACATGCAGGCTTTCTCTAGTTGTGGCGAGTGCGGGCTACTCTTTGTTGTGGTGTGCAGGCTTCTCATTGCAGCGGCTTCTCTTGTTGCGGAGCACGGGCTCTAGGAGCGTGGGCTTCAGTAGTTGTGGCGCATGGGCTCAGTTGCTTAGTTGCATGTGGGATCTTCCCGGACCAGGGATCGAACCTGTGTCTCCTGCATTGGTAGGCGGATTCTTAACCACTGCGCCACCAGGGAAGTCCCAAAAATGTTTTCAACATGGCAAAGCTAACCCCAGCAGAGCAGCATGCTTCGAGCCTATCTCCCATGACCCCAAATCTTCCTTCTAGAGCACTGAACCG